TTCAGAAGTGTTCTGTAGTTTTTAGGGTATATTTTGAGAACCATTTGAATGGTAAATGGTTCTCCAACCTTTTATTTTCAGGTTGTAGGTGTCCTTCTGTCTAAAATGAGTCTCTTGTAGACAGCAAATAGATGGGTCCTGTTTTTTTATCCAGTCTGAAACTCTGCGCCTTTTGATGGGGTCATTAAGCCCATTCACGTTCAGAGTTACTTGAACTTCTTCTTAAAGGGGAGTTTTAAGAGTCCCCCTTAAAATTTCTTGCAGAGCTGGTTTGGAGGTCACATATTCTTTCAGTTCCTGCCTGTCTTGGAAGCTCTTTATCTCTCCTTCCATTTTGAATGAGAGCCTTGCTGGATAAAGTATTCTTGGTTGCATGTTCTTCTCATTTAGGACCCTGAATATATCCTGCCAGCCCTTTCTGGCCTGCCAGGTCTCTGTGGAGAGGTCTGCTGTTACCCTAATATTCCTCCCCGTGAAAGTCAGGGACTTCTTGTCTCTTGCTGCTTTAAGGATCTTCTGTTTATCTTTGGAATTTGCAAGCTTCACTATTAGATGTCGAGGTGTTGAACGGTTTTTATTGATTTTAGGGGGGGATCTCTCTATTTCCTGGATCTGAATGCCTGTTTCCCTTCCCAGATTGGGAAAGTTTTCAGCTAGGATTTGTTCAAATACATATTCTGGCCCTCTGTCCCTTTCGGCGCCCTCGGGAACCCCAATTAAACGCAGGTTTTTCTTCCTTAGAGTGTCATTTATTTCCCTTAATCTGTCTTCATGGTTCTTTAATTGTTTGTCTCTTTTTTCCTCAGTTTCCCTCTTTGCCATTAACTTGTCTTCTATGTCACTCACTCGTTCTTCCACCTCGTTAACCCTCGTCGTTAGGACTTCTAGTTTGGATTGCATCTCATTCAGTTGATTTTTAATTTCTGCCTGATTGGATCTAAATTCTGCAGTCATGAAGTCTCGTGAGTCCTTAATGCTTTTTTCTAGAGCCACCAGTAGCTGTATAATGGTGCTTCTGAATTGGCTTTCTGACATTGAAGTGTAATCCAGATTTTGTAACTCTGTGGGAGCGAGGGCTGTTTCTGATTGTTTCTTTTGAAGTGAGGTTTTCCTTCTAGTCATTTTGCTCAGTGCAGAGTGGCCAAAAACAAGTTGTATTGGAACACGGGGGAGTATCACTGGTCCCTCTAGCTGGTCTTCTGGGGGAGGGGCCTGGTGTGCTGATTTTCAGGTGTTAGCACTTGGGGGAGCTGCTCTGCCCCTGCCTGCTGCCGGGCTCAGCGGGGGTTGTTTACCCCGTGGGGCCCCAGGAGGAACAGTCGCAGTTGCTATGGCAACTCTGGAAGCCTGGATTCAGCCCCCGCAGGAACTACGGGGCTCTCCGTCTGCAGGGCCTGGAGGCTCCGGGGCGGGGCCGCTGATGTGCTCAGCTCGGGGCAGGAGCGTCCTCGCTGTCCTGGGCCCTCCCGGCCTCTGCCTGTCCCGGGGGAGGCCGGATCCTGGGCTGTGTCCCGGCGCCCTGTGCTCCGGGGCCTGCGTTGTTGGATTCGCGCTCCCGCCCCGCAGCCCCCTCCGCGGAGCCGCCGCCCGAGCCCCTCCGAGCTGCTCCGGCCCCGCCGTGCGCGCTGCAGCCCTTAGGGAGCTCGGCGCACTCTCCCGGGGCGCAGGTGTCTGTTAGTGTCCCAGGGAGCCCGAGGGCATCCCCGCTCTCCTGGGTCCTGCTCTAACTCCCTGCGAGCCCCTTTCCGCCCGCCCGGGAAGGTTGGTGCAGCTCCTGCTCCTCCGGGACGGGGACGGGGCTCTCCTGTCCTGGGGACACTCGCCCCGGCCTCAGCCCGGCTCCTCGCGGGGCCCCTCCCCCTCGGAGGCCTTTTGTTTCTTTATTTCTTTTTCCCCGTCTTCCTACCTTGATAGAAGCGCGAACTCTTCTCACTGTAGCATTCCAGCTGGTCTCTCTTTACATCTCAGGCCGAATTCGTAGATTTTCAGGATGGTTTGAAGGTTATCTAGGTAATTTGGTGGGGACAGGTGATTTGGGGACCCTACTCTTCCGCCGTCTTGCCCCTCCCCCCTCAGCAGTTGAGCTTCTGCCCTCGGTTCAGGCTCAGGGTGGGATCCTGGGATCTGGGATCAAGTCCCACATTGAGTTCCCTGTGGGGAGCATACTTCTCCCTCTGCCTATGTCTCTGCCTCTCTCTCTCTCTCTCATTCTGTGTCTTTCATAAATAAATAAAATCTTTTTAAATAAATAAATAAATGCATTCATAAATATGAATTTTCTAATTTGGTTAACATTTTGAGACTTTGATTTAGATAGTACTTTTGCTCATGTTCACGTCTAAATTTTGGATCGAACCCAAAATGTTTTTTTGTTTTGTCTTGTCCTAATTTGCCTATGATTGAATTAATGAGTAACTTACTTTCCAAATTATAGAATATCATTACTATTAATATTAATACTATCACCATTATTTTACTAAAATATGAGTTGTGGTGATAAGAGAATATATTTTGTGTGATAGCCATTTATTTATTTAGAATTTTTTGGCCTATTACATGATCAATACATGCAAAACTTGTTTCTTTGAAATGATTGTGTATTCTCTGCTCATTTTTTCTTTTTTTTTTTTTGCAGTGTTGGGAAATTTATTTATTTTTTATGTTTTTTTTAATGGAGTTCAATTTGCCAACATATAGCATAACACCCAGTGCTCATCCCATCAAGTGCCCCCCTCAGTGCCCATCACCCAGTCACCCCCAACCCCTGCCCTCTCTGCTCATTTTTAAAAGCACTCTTACCCCGAATCATTATGTCTTGTGTACTGTTGTTTCCGTTTATTAGTTTAAATATGTCTCTTTAAATAGTGATGATTTTCAACGTAAAAATTATTTCATTGATATCAATGTTGTAGTTGGAAAGGATACAGAAAATACTACATAAAAAATAACATTTTAGTAAAACAGCCAAGTTAATAAAGCAGTGGCTAAATCAGTTTTAATAAATCAGATATGATTTTCATGTGTACAATAACCAACAACACAACAAAAAAAAATCACTTTAAAAAGATAACATTTGGGGACCCCTGGGTGGCTCAGCGGTTGAGAGTCTGCCTTTGGCTCACAGGATCGAGGATGGAGAATCCAGTCCTACATGCGGGGAGCCTGTTTCTCTCTCTGTCTACATCTCTGCCTCTCTCTCTCTGTGTCTCTCATGAAAAATAAATAAATCTTTAAAAAAAAAGATAACATTTACAATAGAAAGAAACACATTTACAAATTTACAAAATATTTTCTATGTTTTTTTTAAAACATATGATATGGCTATGCCAAGGTTATATTCTAGTGACATTTGCCTGAGAATTATGGAATAGCCTGTCTTTTGCGCTGAGAAATGCTTTGTCTTAGATAAGCCTGCCACCTTAATGTGAAAGCAGAACTGAGAATTCATGGAATCTGCAGGTTTTGTGATACAATTTATTTATTTTATTTATTTTTATTTATTTTATATCATTTTTGCGATATATTTTATTTTCATTTTCATTATGATACATTTTATTTTCCTGGCATTCATTCATTAATTCATTCATTCATTCATTTACTTATTCAGTAAAAAATCACTTTTTTATCAACTCTTCTATGGCTAGTATGTAGGTTTTGGGAGTCAGCAGTAAATAAGATCCTCACTTTTTCAAAGTGTACATTATACCAGGAGAGACAGATGATAAACAAACAAATACAGCAGATGTGGAGATGATTTATCTTAAGACGTAGAAAATTGTCAAATTGCCTAACATCAAGAATTAACAGTTATGTAGGATTCCTTTGTTGAGCAACATTATACATTTCTTCCTTAGTACAGAACTTGCTATCAATGAATATGCCATACACATTCTCCTGTTTCACTGTTTTCAAAAAATTATAATAAAACATATATTTAAGAAATCCCCAATGATTATTACATTGACTGAATAGATTCACTTAATGTATGCATAAAAGTTTATTGAATTACATACCATAGTTTCTTTACTATTCTTACAGTGAGTATTTTTTCAATGGGGAAGATTAGAGTCTTCTTAACTGAAGTTATAAAAGAATTTTTAAAAACAGAAGGTGTTTGAGATATTTGGCAATTCAAGGCCCAGAGGTAGTTTAAGAAAAAATTGAAATATTTGAAATGAGATCTCAATTTCAAAAATGGCCTGTCATCATTCAGAAACTAGAAGAAATGACTTTCCTCACTGCATATGGAAACTTATAACAGTATTAAAAAGAGGTCATGATCATGTTTCTCTCATCTTTATCTCTCCTGTAGGACTCAGTTTTTTCTAAGCTTTTCCTCTATTTCTCTAAATCAAATACTCTTCAATAGAGTTTATTGTACACATATATAAAATTTACTTGCAATATATTTGTCACTCATGAATTGCATTGTGTACACCTTTCTTAACACAGCCCCAATTGCTTTCTATTAATCATGAAGAATTTATGATAGAATAATATCTACCCCAAACATTCATCCTCAGTGTGTGATTTAGAATTGAATATCCTTACCATGCAAAAGACTGGAGATTCAAACAATGAAATCTAAGCACACTGTGATACAAATTACAATGCAAAATAGCAATGACGTCCCAAGATAACTTGTCAGTTCTGAAAAGTGCATAAACAAAGATCATAAATTTTTTTCATTGCAAAATTTTTCATTGCAAAGATTATGTATGTGAAATACACATGGCCTCATAATTCTCAGGAATTTCTTATAATACATTATATAATTAAATTTTTTACCTGAAAAAAATTGGTGAGGGTATATTTCTTACATTTTTCATACGTACATGAATATACCTTTCTTTCTGTGATAAGCTTAGGTAAGACTTTTCTAAGAAGAAGTCTCAAATTACTCAATTACTTACACTATGGAAAAACTAGTAGGAGGTATAAAATACTAACAACCTGTATCAGTTAACAACTTTCTGCTAGAACATACACAATGCTACCTCTTATTGAGTTGAGAGGTTTTGGTCTTTCAACCAGTACTTCACCTGGCATAAAACAGACAGAAAGGCTTCTCTTAGCTTCTTGTTTCCCCAAATCAGGATAAATGAGTGGCTTGAAGGATATGCATATGCAAAAACTTGGCAAAGCATGAAGAATAGTCCAGTCTGCAGCCTATTAGAACTCCAAACTATGGCAATTAAAGTCAGGAAGTAACAAACTAATAACAAAAGAAAAGAGATCACAGTCTGCATGGCTCTTATGTGGACCTTGGTGCTGGAATCTTGGGATCTTTTACCACTGGATCGCATCTTCTTGAGATGTTTCCACAGGGAAAAGATTAACAGCAGAAAAGATGTTAAGGATATAGCAAAGGGTACAAAGTTCATTAGCGTGAATACAGTCATATTCATAAGGTATGCAATTTCCCTCAGTTTGGTCTGCCTAGTGATGTTTCCTTCATATTCCTTCATCTGCGTTTGCTCATATATGCTTACCACTGCAACATGAACAACCAAAAAGAACAAAGACCCCAACAGCATCACAAAAACTACACTTTTAACTCTCCACTTTAGGCGAAGAAAAATAAGGTTAGAGAAATTGGCTATTTTGAACAAATAAAATACGCTGAGGCTAGTAGCAAGCCAGATGCTAAAATGATTGCTCGCTGTCCAGGCAATATGAACAAGAAGTCTTACTTCTAAGCTATATAAAGCTGGATTCAACAAAGTTGCATACCAATTTATAAATATTACCCAGAGTAAACCAATTCTGGAGACAGCCAGACCAGTGAGAATTTGATCAGCTGAGGAGATCTTTTGTCTCTTGACCCACGCAATGTAGTTCACCAGCACTATGAAGCCATTGGCAAAATTTCCTAGAACAAATTCTGTCATTACTGGGATGGAAAAAATGCTCTGTAGTAAAGTTAGCATGTCTAGAAAGAAAAACAAACCAAAAAGCCAAATCTAATATTACTGCTTGTGATCCCTTGAATATTCTGACCTTATGCTCTATAGGCAGCTGACCTCTGAGTGTGCAGTAAAGTTCTCGTTTCTTTTAAATTCTGTAACCAATGTCAAGCAGGAACGCACAGGGTATGCTAATAGAGGAGCTCAATGCTGTCTTGATGAAAAACATTGTTTTTCCCAAATTGCTAAATTGACTCCCAGTCATACACTGTGTGTCCTCGCCATGGGCTGGATTATTTTGTAACTGGTGTCAAAGTGAAAGCTGGTATCACATTTGCTAAAATGCAAATAAGGACATATTGTTTTACAATCTGTTCCTTGTTTAACCTTTCCATAATTTGTGTTCAACTTTAGTTGTTAGGTAGTAAAATTTAAAAAACCAATTCATAGAACAACAGTGAATATCCAGACCATTTCATGGAGCTGGGTCATACTAGGATCTACAGTGTTACGGATTTATTACTTTTTTAATGCCAGATTTACATAGGAAGAATTTAAGCTTTTCCTATCAAAAGCTTTCAGAAAAGACAATTCTCCCTAAAAGCCAGTTGCTGATAACTAATATTTACATATAAGTTTATTTATTTATAAGCTCATAAACACATACACACACACAAACTCACACAAATACATATGCATCTCATGGATAGAATTAGTGTCCTGTAATTTCCAAAATGTAAAATCAGTGTCAGGAGATCATCCCAATTTAAATACCTTCTTTCTCTCATTATTAGTAGTTATCAAATATATCTCTCATGCTTAGGTCTTTGATAAAGTTTCCCTTTTGAGTCTATTTAATATTGAAATATTCACTTTTAATTAAAATACTAGAGAATTTGATAAATATTTTTGAACATTTCAAAGGAACATGTGTTTTCCATATCCTTAGATTTCATTCAGATTCATGTTTTGTAATAATTGTTTTAGCAGAGGGTCTTGAGCCAGACTACCAGAATGAGAAACCCAGACTGTCTGCTTCATATATTTCTGATCTTGGACACCGTTTTAAAGCTACTCTCTGCCTCAGTATGATCAGCAAAATGCAGAGTACTGATATCCTCTCCCAGTGGTCTTTGTGAGGAGTTTGTATACTATTTTCCACCTTGCCCATCTGGTACAGAAAGAGTAGGGAGGGTTATTACTTTGTCATTTAACACACTAAAGTTAACCTACCATAACTTCCATTTAGGAGTAGAATGCAGCAGATTGAAAAAGGAAAATTTTCCTTCTATAACAAGCAAGATGAGAATAAACTGCCAAAATTATATTTTAAATTCATCATAAAGCCATGTAAAAAAGGAGGACCACCCATACTAAAATCTGGAATACAGAGAGTCTTTTCAGATAGATGATCTATATAGTCAGTGCATTTCCTATCAAATTCCAAGCAGACTCTATTGGAAGAAAATGAAAGACTATGTCTAAAATATATATGAAAATGCAAAGTGCCCAGAATAAGCAAAAGGATTTTTTTAAAAAGAACAAATTTGGAGGATTTCAGTTTCCAGTATCAAAGCTTGCTACTAAGCTGTATCAATTAATGTAGTGTGGCACTCTCACACAGATAGAAATATATATTAATGAAAAACAATAGAGAGTCCAGACAAATATTTACATTCATGAACAGTTTGTTACCGAACCCAAGTTGGGCTGCCTATTGCTCAAAAGGCCATTACTCAATTTGTTTTGCTTTGTTTTTTTAAGGTTTTTATTTCTTTGAGAAAGAATGAGAGCACACATGTGGAACAGGAAGGGATAGACGAGAGAGAGACTCTCAAGCACACTCCCACTGAACAAGGAGTCCAGCACAGAGTTCCACCTCAAGACCCTGAGACCATGGCCTGAGCTGAAATCAAGAGTCAGAAGCCTAACTGACAAAGCCACCCAGGCACCGCTCAAGAGGCGAGTTTTTTATTGGAAAGAAACATGAGCTTTATTCAGGAGGCTGGCAACCTGGGGAGAAGGCAGACTCTTGTCCAAAGCCCAACTCGGAGGTTTCTGCCTGGCCCAGGGGTTTTTCAAGGGACTTAAGTAGTTAATCAACAAAAGGTTTGCAATGACCTGCAGAATTTCTTGGTTTTGTGCAGACTCCACGATGCCAGCTACAAATGTCATCTCAGTGCAAGATAGTTGCACAAGATAGTACAGTTCTTGTTTTGTGATGTGCAGGAGTACTCTATTCTTTAATTTGAAGCAAGTTAACACAAGACAGGCTAGCACGCTGTTACAAATGAATTCAAGGCAATCAGTGGCAAAATTATCATTCTTTTGTTTTCAACAAGTGAATTGGGGACAATTAGATATCCACCTTCATAGAGATAAATTTAGATCGTTATTTCATTCCATAGACAAAATTAACTCAAAATTGATCATAGAAACTACATGTAAGAAGAACAACTATAAACTTGAGAAAAAAATAAAATCTTGTAAAGTTGAATTAGGCAGACTTCTTAGATCCAACATCAAGAGCATGATTCATAAAATTAATAAGCTAATAAATTGTACATACTGGGTCACAAATCAGGTCAAAACTAAACATGTTTGTTCCCCATGATGTTCACACCGTGTGTAATTCCGCTCCTCCCTTGAGCATGGGCAGGACCTGTGGCTTATTTCTAGCCTGCGTAATATGGCCAGCATGAAGGGGTATTGCAGATCCTTAGAATCCCAAATCCCCAATTCTGAGTTAATTAAAAGGGAGATTATCCTTCATGGGCTTGATGTAATCAGGTAAAGCTTAAAGAGTGGCTGAGCTTCCCTTGAATGAGAGAGTCTTGCTGGTCTTGAAGAAGAAAGCAGCCAGGCAGTGAAGTGCCTATGGAAAGGGCCACAAAAAAATGAATTCTGTAGATATCATGATGACACTAAATTCATATCTTTCAATAGTAACTCTGAACGTGAACGGGCTTAATGACCCCATCAAAAGGTGCAGGGTTTCAGACTGGATAAAAAAGCAGGACCCATCCATTTGCTGTCTACAAGAGACTCATTTTAGACAGAAGGACAACTACAGCTTGAAAATAAAAGGTTGGAGAACCATTTACCATTCAAATGGTCCTCAAAAGAAAGCAGGGGTAGCCATCCTTCTATCAGATAAACTAAAATTTACCCCGAAGACTGTAGTGAGAGATGAAGAGGGACACTATATCATACATAAAGGATCTATCCAACAAGAGGACTTAACAATCCTCAATATATATGCCCCGAATGTGGGAGCTGCCAAATATACCAATCAATTAATAACCAAAGATAAGATATACTTAGATAATAATACACTTATACTTGGTGACTTCAATCTAGTGCTTTCTACACTTGATAGGTCTTCTAAACACAACATCTCCAAAGAAATGAGAGCTTTAAATGATACACTGGACCAGATGGATTTCACAGATATCTACAGACTTTACATCCAAACTCAACTGAATACACATTCTTCTCAAGTGCACATGGAACTTTCTCCAGAATAGACTACATACTGGGTCACAAATTGGGTCTGAACCGATACCAAAAGATTGGGATCGTCCCCTGCATATTCTGAGACCATAATGCCTTGAAATTAGAACTAAATCACAACAAGAAGTTTGGAAGGACCTCAAACACGTGGAGGTTAAGGACAATCCTGCTAAAAGATGAAAGGGTCAACCAGGAAATTAAGGAAGAATTAAACAGATTCATGGAAACTAATGAGAATGAAGATACAACCGTTCAAAATCTTTGGGATTCAGGAAAAGCAGTCCTAAGGGGGAAATACATCGCAATACAATCATCCATTCAAAAAACTGGAAAGAACTCAAATACAAAAGCTAACCTTACACCTAAAGGAGCTAGAGAAAAAACAGCAAATAGATCCTACACCCAGGAGAAGAAGAGAGTTAATAAAGATTTGAGCAGAACTCAACGAAATCGAGACCAGAAGAACTGTGGAACAGATCAACAAAACCAGGAGTTGGTTCTTTGAAAGAAAAAATAAGATAGATAAACCATTAGCCAGCCTTATTAAAAAGAAGAGAGAGAAGACTCAAATTAATAAAATGAATGAGAAAGGAGAGATCACTACCAACACAAGGAAATACAAACGATTTTAAAAACATGAACAGCTCTACGCCAATAAATTAGGCAATCTGGAAGAAATGGACGCATTTCTGGAAAACCACAAACTACCAAAACTGGAACAGAAAGAAATAGAAAACCTGAACAGGCCAATAACCAGGGAGGAAATTGAAGCAGTCATCAAAAACCTCCCAAGACACAAAAGTCCAGGGCCAGATGGCTTCCCAGGGGAATTCTATCAAACGTTTAAAGAAGAAACCATACCTATTCTACTAAAGCTGTTTGGAAAGATAGAAAGAGATGGAGTACTTCCAAATTCGTTCTATGAAGCCAGCATCACCTTAATTCCAAAACCAGACAAACACCCCACCAAAAAGGAGAATTACAGACCAATATCCCTGATGAACATGGATGCAAAAATTCTCAACCAGATATTGGCCAATAGGATCCAACAACACATTAAGAAAATTATTCACCATGACCAAGTAGGATTTATTCCCGTGACACAAGGCTGTTTAACACTCATAAAACAATCAATGTGATTCATCATATCAGCAAGAGAAAAACCAAGAACCATATGATCCTCTCATTAGATGCAGAGAAAGCATTTGACAAAATACAGCATCCATTTCTGATCAAAAATCTTCAGAGTGTAGCGATAGAGGGAACATTCCTCAACATCTTAAAAGCCATCTATGAAAAGCCCACAGCAAATATCATTCTCAACGGGGAAGCACTGGGAGCCTTTCCCCTAAGATCAGGAACCAGACAGGGATGTCCACTCTCACCACTGCTATTCAACATAGTACTGGAAGTCCTAGCCTCAGCAATCAGACAACAAAAAGACATTAAAGGCATTCAAATTGGCAAAGAAGTCAAACTCTCCCTCTTCGCTGATGACATGATATTCCACATAGAAAACCCAAAAGCCTCCACCCCAAGATTGCTAGAACAGCAATTTGGTAGCATGGCAGGATACAAAATCAATGCCCAGAAATCAGTGGCATTTCTGTACACTAACAATGAGACTGAAGAAAGAGAAATTAAGGAGTCAATCCATTTATAATTGCGCCCAAAAGCATAAGATACCTAGGAATAAACCTAACCAAAGAGGTAAAGGATCTATACCCTAAAAACTACAGAACACTTCTGAAAGAAATTGAGGAAGACACAAAGAGATGGAAAAATATTTCATGCTCATGGATTGGCAGAATTAATATTGTGAAAATGTCAATGTTACCCAGGGCAATTTACACATTTAATGCAATCCCTATCAAAATACCATGGACTTTCTTCAGAGAGTTAGAACAAATTATTTTAAGATTTGTGGAATCAGAAAAGACCCCGAATAGCCAGGGGAATTTTAAAAAAGAAAACCATATCTGGGGGCTTCACAATGCCAGATTTCAGGTTGTACTACAAAGCTGTGGTCATCAAGACAGTGTGGTACTGGCACAAAAACAGACACATATATCAATGGAACAGAGTAGAGAATCCAGAAGTGGACCCTGAACTTTATGGTCAACTAATATTTGATAAAGGAGGAAAGACTATCCATTGGAAGAAAGACAGTCTCTTCAATAAATGGTGCTGGGAAAATTGGACATCCACATGCAGAAGAATGAAACTAGACCACTCTCTTGCACCATACACAAAAACTCAAAATGGATGAAAAATCTAAATGTGAGACAAGATTCCCTCAAAATCCTAGAGGAGAACACAGGCAACACCCTTTTTGAACTCGGCCACAGTAAGTTCTTGCAAGATACATCCACGAAGGCAAAAGAAACAATAGCAAAAATGAACTATTGGGACTTCATCAAGATAAGAAGCTTTTGCACAGCAAAGGACACAGTCAAAACTAAAAGACAAAACAAAAAACAACGTACAGAATGGGAGAAGATATTTGCGAATGACGTATCAGATAAAGGTCTAGTTTCCAAGATCTATAAAGAACTTATTAAACTCAACACCAAAGAAACAAACACAGTGAGAATGGGGAAAATTAACAAGGCAGGAAACCACAAATGTTGGAGAGGATGCGGAGAGAAGGGAACCCTCTTACACTGTTGGTGGGAATGTGAACTGGTGCAGCCACTCTGGAAAACTGTGTGGAGGTTCCTCAAAGAGTTAAAAATAGACCTGCCCTACAACCCAGCAATTGCACTGTTGGGGATTTACCCCAAAGATTCAGATGCAATGAAACGCTGGGAAACCTGCACCCCGATGTTTCTAGCAGCAATGTCCACAATAGCCAAACTGTGGAAGGAGCCTCGGTGTCCATCGAAAGATGAATGGATAAAGAAGATGTGGTTTATGTATACAATGGAATATTACTCAGCCATTAGAAATGACAAATACCCACCATTTGCTTCAACGTGGTTGGAACTGGAGGGTATTATGCTGAGTGAAATAAGTCAATCGGAGAAAGACAAACATTATATGTTCTCATTCATGGGGGGAATATAAACAATAGTGAAAGGGAATTATAAGGGAAGGGAGAAGAAATGTGTGGGAAATATCAGAAAGGGAGACAGAACATAAAGACTCCTAACTCTGGGAAAGGAACGAGGGGTGGTGGAAGGGGAGGAAGGTGAGGGGTGGAGGTGAATGGGTGATGGGCACTGAGGGGGACACTTGACAGGATGAGCACTGGGTTTTATTCTGTATGTTGGCAAATTGAACACCAGTAAAAAATAAATTTATTATTAAAAAAATGAATTCTGCCAACAACCTGCATGAACTTGGAAGTGGATTCTTCTCTAGTCAAGCCTACAGATGAGGATACTGTATCATCAAAATGTTGATTTCAACTTGGTCAGATCCTGAAGCTGAGAACACAGCTTGCCTGACTCATGGCCCAAAAAAGTTATGAGATAATAAATGTATATTTGCATGCACCCCAATGTTTACAACAGCAATGTCCATAATAGTCAAAATATGAAAAGATCCCACATGCCCATTGACAGATGAATGGATGAAGAAGAGGCAGTACAGGTATATAATGGAATATTATTCAGACATCAAAAAGAATGAAACTTGCTATTTGCAACGACAAGATGGGAATAGAAGGTATTATGCTAAGTGAAATAAGTCAGTCAGAGAAAGACAATTATCATATGATTTAACTTATATGTGGAATTTAAGAAACAAAAGAGATGTATATAGGGGAAGAGAGGGAAAAATAAAATAAGATGAAATCAGAGAGGGAGACAAACCATAAGAGATGTTGAACTCTAAGAAACAAACTGCAGGTTGTTGGAGGGGAGGGAGGTGCTGGGAACTGGGTGATGGGTATGAGGAGGGCACTTGATGTAATAATGAGCACTGGGTATTATATACAACTAATGAATCACTAAACTCTACCTCTGCAACTAGTAATACATTTTATGTTAATTAACTGATTTTAAGTTAAAAAAAAATCAAACTACCCAAAACAAACCAACCAAAAAAATAAGTAAATAAAAATAAATGTTTGTTTATTTAAGCTACTAAATTAATGATAATCTGTTGCACAGCAATAACAAATGAATACAGTGACAGATTCAGAATTTAGTGTTTTGGTCTATTTGATAGAGAAGATCTCTTCTATCAGGTGAGAAATGTTCTATAATTTGGTTTGCTAGATTTTTTCTTTAATTTATCCATTTGTCAGTTCATGCAAGAATACATTTTGCTTCTTTTGGAAAGGAGAATGTCTGTATTTAGTTCATTTTACATCTGTACTAGTGAATTTTTATGTTCTGTATTTATTCTGTCCTGGGTCTGATGTTGTAAAAAGA